CTACAAAATAGATAGTTGTTCGTGCTGCGCGTTATAAGGAGACAGGTAAATAGAAGAATGAATGCGCACACTACTATCATAACATATTTTCTTCACCTATTTGTTTTTTAATGTAAAAATCACTAAAAAGACAGAAGTTTTAACGATAAAACAAAAACCGGGACTTTAGCAATTAGAGGATCTTGGAACCTACATAGCACTTGACACTATCAACGAAAAAAATTCTGTGTCTGTGACCCAACTTTAACGATTCTAAATAGAAAGATTAAAGTTGCGAAACTTCCGCTTCTTTGCCCAAATATGTGGTACAGTACAGCACTGTCCCCGTTGCCACGAACAAAGAGGTGTTCGCTTGCGCCTCCGACTCGAAGATATGAAACGACAGCCTGCATTATTTACTTAATCTTCTTTCACCTTATCACCTGCTCTCAAAAAGGAGCCTCTCACATCTTTCTCTTTTCAGTCCACAAAGTTTTTGTCAAATCATTTCTAATTCAAATTTACAGACAGAATCTGCGACGGTGCAAAGAAATTGTACATAATCCAATTTATCGCAATCTAGATACTTTACAATTTACATCTACTACACTCCAACTACATCACATCCATGCATCTCCTAATGATGCCCGTGCTCTTCTTCATGTCCATGCCCATGTTTCGCACGATACTTGTAGTGCAATCGGTGCTCTTCTGGTACAACAAACTCATATACCCATACAGCTACCTAGAATAAGATTCAAAGTGAACAGAAGCGTTCATGAACTTACAAAATTTGGTGAAATAAAGACAATGGAGTGAAAAAATGAGCTATTGATGGAATCAGGAAAAAAGCTCAGTGAGATTTACCTGAACAGCGAGCACACAAGCAGCAAGGCGGAAGATTCCTTTTGTGAACTGTCCATAAGGACTAGCAGACCAGATATCAGCTTTGGTGTTCTGAGCATAATGATAACAAATAAAGAACAATATAAGAGAAACGATAGAGGAGTCGAACAACTTACGATGATATTATAAGCAGCGTAAGCCTCCTTCCTTGCTTTGCCGAACATGAATAGTTTGGGCTGGTTATTAAGATTATCCCATTTTCCTTCGCTTGCAAGCCGATTTACTTCTTTCCATATGGCATGTGGATCACTGAAGAGATAGAAACAGTTTAAAAAATGCATGAAATTTTCACACACAAAAAATTGACAAAAATTGAACAACATAATCAATTGTTACATAATGCAACTTTTTGAAACAATTATTCCCCCTTCCCACACTCCCTTTTATTTGAAGTTCGAAATTAACCGTCGATTAAAATTCAAAAAACAACGAAAAGACAGGAACTTTGCAGCTATATGTGCGAAAAGAAAAAAGGTCGGAAACTGAGGAATGCCTTTTAAACTGAGTAATAAAGTGTAAATGCAATAAATGAACTCAAGAATGTGGGTATTACCAGGAAATGTTTGACGGCTAACCGTAACAAGGCAAAATTCCAAAATAAGAACTGAAAAGTTGAAAAAAAAGAAACTCACTGAGTGCTCGTCGCAAGCCGCCGGGTTGAAAAGTGCGCAATCACTCGGGTAAGCCCGGACATCTGCGCTCTAAAAATAGATAGAGATGGAAAACCCATTAAAATGATAAATACTTTCATGATTATTTATGAATTGAAGCATAAAATTTCCGCAAAAACTCTTGAAGTAAACAGAGTTTCTTGTAAGCAAACATTCGCTATATAAGTACATGAAGATATGGAAGACGTAAGTAAAAAAAAACTAGATGCTATCCCGTGTTTAAAAAAAAGAAAAGTCAACAATATTACAAAAAAGGAAACAGTGATAAAAGGAATGCGGATAGAGCTCGCACGAAACGGCAAATTGGAAATTTTTCACTACAACTAAAGCTAGCTTTGAAATCCTGGAACTAAAGAGAATAAGAAAATCAACCCACCAGTCTTCCGGAACTTTTGAACCAATAGTCCAGAATTTCTCTGCAATACCTAGAAAGTGCGCAATCTTCCGCTAGGCACGTCGCGTGTTGGATCGGAGCACTGCAGAGCCACAACGATTCAAATTAGTTGAACGAATTATCTTGTGCCTTTTGTCATGCTCGCTCACCTTGTAAGGGTGTTTTCTCAATAATTTGCTTTTTTATAATTGGATTTTATCCTATCTGAGCCAACATATCTGAAGACTTGTATTGGATTGCACTATAAATGGTTTTGTGTCATTGAAACTTTTGAACTGCTCCTTCTTTTACTTGTAATTTACTTAACGCTATCAGCTGCAATGAGCTATAATTCCATACCTTTATATGAAGCAAATTTGATTA